AAACACAAAATGTTGTAGTTCAGCCTAATGGATTTTAGCTTTCTTGTTGTAATACCTTTCAGAAGGCGTACCCCCAAATTTCCTGTGCGAGTATCAAAAATAAATGGATGGAGGGCCAAATAACTTACAAAATACTCATCTTGTCATGACTCAACTCTCTTTACTCTTTTTCTCCCTACAACCCATCCCAGTGTTCAACCAAAACAGTTCCATTGAGGCAACCTTTATACTACGTAACTCTGCCGGTCACCTGATCAATCAGTCTAGAACGGGCCAGTTTGCTATCAACGTAGACAGCCGGGTTTATGATGTGGACTCGGAGCAGACCAAGAGTTACGGCATGCCTGTCTGTCCCCCTGGTACGGTGCGCATGAAGGCAGAGGACGTACGATGCGGTAAGTGGCGTGGCATTCTTGTTTCTCTGTCTAGTTTTGTAGCCTTGGTGGTATTTTATGTCTACATTTTCCACTCCTTATGAGAGTTAGAGCTTCGGTCTTCTGCAGTACAACTGAATCATAAACCTAGTGGTGACTGTAGTGACTTAGTGATGACTGAGCATGTGCTTTTTGCTGTGTTGTAGTCAAGTGATGCATCGCAAGTCCATCACTAGTCCATCACAAGTCCGTCACAAGTCCATCACAAGTCCATCGCAAGTCCATCACAAGTCCATCACAAGTCAATCACATGTCCATCACAAGTCCATCACAAGTCTATCACTATTCAAGCACAAGTCCATCACAAGTCCATCACAAGTCCATCACAAGTCTATCACAAGTCCATCACAACTCCATTGCAAGTCCATCACAATTCCATCACAAGTCCATCACAAGTCCATCACAAGTCCATCCCATGTCCATCACAAGTCCATCACAAGTCTATCACTATAGTCCATCACAAGTCCATCACAAGTCCATCACAAGTCTATCACAAGTCCAACACAAGTCCATCACAAGTCCGTCACAAGTCCATTACAAGTCCACCACAAGTCCATCACAAGTCCATCACAAGTCCATCACAAGTCCATCACAAGTCCATCACAAGTCCATCACAAGTCCATCACAAGTCCATCACAAGTCCATCACAAGTCCATCACAAGTCCATCACAAGTCAGTCACAAGTCAGTCACAAGGCCCAAGACAGCTCACAAGCTTTTCTAGTGAATTACAACAAAGTCATCCTTTTGTTATTGGTCATCCGCATTTGACTTGTTACCTGTTCTGTGTGTTGATCCTGTGATATACTAATGAAAAGATTGTTCTTTGGCCATTCCAAGTAGTTTATCCAGGTAGGGGGGCAAGGGCCCCCGGCGATATTTTGTCAATTTTTGTTTCTTTTAGGAAGTGAAGGTGCCAACCCATTACAATCCCTACAAGTAGTAATAAAATTAAAATTCCCAATTGACATAAGTCAGGAAATGAAATAATTTTGTTCAGTCTGCTCTTATCGAAAAAATTACAAGAGTATCTGCTAGGGAAAATTGTAATCTCTGAAAAGGATTATTAGTGGATTCAGTGTAAAAATGTTTACTTGTAAGAGCTGCTGTTGTGCCTAACATACCAAGAACTCTTCTATAAATGCTCACAAGAATGATGCTATTATTTCTCATGTTCTCTCTTCAGTTCCCTGCGAGTCAGGCTGGTATAACTACCTGGAGGATTGCTACCCGTGTCCACGTGGCATGTACCAGTCACTAGATGGCAGTACATACTGCCATGCCTGTCCACGTGGCCGCACCACCACCGGCCCCTCTGCTACTAAGGAAGGAGATTGCCAAGTCATCACCCTGTAGTCTCTACTTGAGAACTTTGAAAATCCACTCAACCCTAGACTAGTCTTTAAAACTACTTAAGTAGAAACAGTTTTTGCTCACTGTAGCCTAAGGGAACGCACATTCTAAGCATTTGTAAAAAAAAAAAAAAAAAAAAATCAAATAAGATGGCTTAATCAGAATTTGCTTAAATTGATGACTTTTGTAGGAACAAGAAATGAAGAAACCTTTGACGATAACAGGTTGTGCCACACTTTTCATGGAAGCACCCCACTTTGATTACAGACAATTTGTGTTTTTAGTCACTTCTTTCTCATTTGCTGAATGTTAAGAAATATTACATTTTCAATTGTTGTCATTGTACCTCACATGTACTCACTCTCTTCAAATAGAGGTTTTTGCTTAAATTGCTGCATTTTCAGTATTATGGTAATGTTTATTAAATTTGATTTTTACTGCTTTATAAAGTTTATGCATGAGTTATTTTATGTGCAAAATTTGGAGAATTATTATGAATTTAACATGGTCTGAGGGTGGATAGTCGATATTAGCTTTCCGAAGTATTGGAGTTGACAAACAGTTGTCAACATGATGATGATGGACCAGTAAGAATTTGGCTCTTGCTCATGAATATGTATGAAGTATATTAAGTAGCCATACTCAATACTCGGTAAACACAATTTTTTAATGAGAGGATTGGACAGTGCTGTTGTAGCCTCAATTGCATTCCATATTTTTTTTTCAGCTTCGGTATTTTATAATGTTGTAATGTTGATTTTTTTTTTTTTAACAAAGATGTAAAGGTCCTTCATTAAAAGAACCCATAACTTTCCCTTTTCTTACTAGCCTCCATGGTTTATGCCGGTCATTTTCATTTTTCATTTTTTGATCAGTTTGAACAATTTCATGAAAATGAATGTGTAAGTGGTAGAATATGACATTTTGGCTCCAGTTTTTGTATCAAAACAAATAATCAAAATATATGATTAGATACCAGCAGTATATCGTCAATAATACATTGTCAGGGGCCCGTTTTGTAGAGCTGCTATTAAACAGTAAATATATTGTTAAAAAAAATGTGTGTGCTTAATGAAATTTAGCTGAGAACCAGTCAGTAGCAGTGTACATCGTGCGAAGGATTGGCTGGTAACCTATCATTGCTTAGCATGCATGTTATGTGCTTAGTAAATTTCCAGGGCACAGAGTGCCACTTTAAACATGGATTATTATATGCATTAAATGAACATTCTTGAATTTGCTTACGTGTGGGCTATGAGATTGTAATGTGTTGTACTGGTGGCATGGCAGATGAAAATGTTGTTTCTTTTTTAATCAAATTTTTCTCAAAGTAAGAGTCTTGGTCAGGGCCCAATTTCATAGCGCTGCTTAACAGCCGACTTTGTGCTTACCGAGCCTCCATCTATTTCATAGGGACCGTTAAGCAGTAAGCACAGCAAAAGCATGCTTTACCCCAGAAGAAAACTTTGCTTAAATCAGTGACGTAACAATAGAAATCTCCATGCGCTTGGCAACCGTTAGCGTGAAATGTGCTTAAGCAGCAGCATGATATTTTGCTATAGTAAACACAACTTTTCTGCTTACTGTTAGCAGCGCTATGAAATTGGGCACTCAGCTGATAGTTTTTCAATAATAGCCAATGACCCAGTGGGCCTGTTGTTCAAGTATTAGAAAGAAACCTGAAAGGTACTACATGGACTTATTCCTAGTTCAGTGTGAATCGTTGATACAGTAAGTCAATCAGTTATTATTAAGGGAATAACAGTGTGAGGAGCCGGTCTTCACTGCGTGATAATGACCGGGTGTGGGGGTGACCGCTGTTAATGGACCGGTCACCCCCACACCCGGTCATTATCACGCAGTGAAGACCGGATCCTTACACTGTTATTCCCATTAATAAATACCTTTTTAACGAAATAAACAGTTAAAATGCTCCAATTTTGTGACTTTCTTTCGGCGATATTTCCAGACTTTTTTGTGTTCATGTTCATGGGCCATATTTTAGCTTTACAGCTATAACGACGTAAACTCAACAGAAACTGCTGCCGTAGCGAAACAAATTACAACAATGTTTTCATATCTTTACCTGATGGAGGAAGCTGAAATCTCGTTTACACATTCCTTGTGTCTGGAATTTCAAAGATGCTTTGTTTAGGAAAGGTACATATGTCGGTGGGTGAAGTGTTCAAAGAAAATAAATCGTCGTAAACATCCTCAGTATATATACTGCACTGCTGTACGATGTCGTTTCAAAACTTCCTTACGCGCGCGCACGCACGCATCCCTAGCAACTGTGTTGCGTACGCGCGCGTCAGTCTCACGCGATGGGGGTTGAGCGCATGTGCAGTGCTCTATTGTTACAAGCTACCGCAGGAGTGTTACTATATTTTGACCAATCATTGGCTTGCATGGGGCTGAACCACTGATCTCTATATAAAGACGGCTGAACGGGGCTTGATCAATGCTGGTTCAGGGGCCATTTATTCGCTTGATCTTTGAAGCCGGTCCATTATCACCGTTAATGCCCGGCCACGTGATCGAGTCTCGACCAATCAGAAACCATCAACTCTCCAAGGTATTCATTAATATTATGTACATACTCAGACATTTATAATTGTATACGTTTATGTATCCACATGCATGCTTTGGTTTTGAAGTAAATGGAATCGTGCTGCTAGTTAATTAGCCTTATTTGCAAATGCTTTGTCTATTAAAACGTACTGTGCATGCTATTAATCGTCTGTGTGAGTTCCTTATTACATGGATTATTTGTGATGACAAAGAAAACTTACATTAGTGACTCCATGGGCGGGACACACTTTTGTGAGGAGGTTGGGGGAAGGGTTGGATCGGGAGATGGTATTTTCCTTGGTTGGGTTTGTGATTTAAAATTCCATTTCTTGTTAATATTAGTGATTCTCCCCACTCCCCCCCCCCCAACTTGTCAAAAACTTCTCAGGGCAGATAGCCAGACACCCCAATTTCAAATAACCAGTCAAACCGCGGATCTTGAGTGCTAAGCAATCGTATGATTGGGAACCTATTCTTTTTATCCTCATCACAAAAAAAAGCTTATTTACATTACTGATTTTATTTAGTGCGAAAATAAAATTTAATACCCTCGGATAGGACACCGGGCTCCCGACTTATGAATAATGCATGTCTGCATATGACGGCGCCCTGCGATTGGCTCATTGAAAAACGGAGAATTCGCCCACATCAAACATGGCTACCTTGCACGTGCGGATTTTTCGACAAGTGATAGGTGAGTTTATCGTTTTTTAAATGAGGTTTTTGCCAAGGTTTAGCCAATTTTCTTGTGTCACATGGTCCCTTGATGAACAGAGAAGCCTTGGGGACAATTTGAGGTGAAATTCCGGCTGATAAGTCCTGCATTTAAGGGAACTTGTGAGTGTTATAAAATTACGTGGCGAAGATACTCGGAAAACGTGTGGCGAATTTACATTTGGGAGGGGGCGGGGAGGGAGGAAAACCGGAGGGGGACCTTACTCTTGATTTTGAAGCACATTTACTTGGTTATGAAAACACTGAAAATCAATTTCGGCTTTCTTATAATTTCCAGTTAGTTTGTATAATTTTTAACAGTTCACCATTTTGGGAATTTTTTGGCTGCAAAAATTTCCATGTGAAATTTCTAAAAAAAATAGACATTCTTGAATTGCCTGATTAATCTTCGTCACCATTTTGCTCTAAATGTTCCGTTCAAAAAATTAGAAACCTGCCCTCTTTCCATGACATTCATGTTGGTTTTCAACATTGCTAGCTATTTTATTCAGCATGTTTATTCCCATATATGTGACGGTAATACTGGACTACCTCCGTATTAACCGTCACAAATCCACATGGGGTAAATTGGACGGAGAGTGCATGTATGCGGGCGCACTTTTGACCAAAACTGAATGACAGGCAACAGCCGTACAAATGCACATTGTCAAAATTTGATGCAAGCTAGTGAGGGTGCGATTTATCACAACCCATGACGTCATGCAACACGACGCTTTCGTGAACAATGGCTGTAAAAGTCTTCCGAATTCAACTCGAAATTACAAGATAACTAGACTTCTGAAGGTGCCGAATTTAATATTTTGTTGATATTAAGCAGTTTAACTTGTAGACGGCATTGTGTGAGTATAAAGTGACAAAACAATTGTGATTTCGAATGGATATTTGACTCCCTTAGCAACGGACTCTCCGTCCAATTTACCACATGTGGATTTGTGACGGTTAATACGGAGGTAGTCCAGTATTACCGTCACATTTATGGGACTATTTTATTTAGGAGTCTTAGAAGTGGATTTTTTTTCCACGTTACAGCAGATAGCCAAGTGACCAAAATTACACTAAAAAAATTCCGAACTTTTTTCCGTTTTTTTAAGGGGGAGGGAAAGGGGGGTTGGGAGGTGCATGCACAACAGAGCAACCTCTCCTCCCTAGCCCTGTCCCCAACGAAAAGATTGTTTTCTCCTTTTCTTTTCATTGGATTAAGTCTTTTTGGCAACAGTGTGTGATAAAATGCCTCAGACTAAGCAGCAACTTGCACCTTCTACCCATTGTCCAGGTTGCCAAGCCTGCATTCATCCTAAAACTCTGTTTTTGATACAAACACCAGTAGCCAATGGGAGGGTAGTCAGTCAGCCCAGAGCCCAAAACATTGAATTTCATTACCATATAAGGTAACCCTGAAGTACAGATTTGCATATGCAAATTAAGGAAAACTTACAGCCAATCACAGGCCTGCATTGGTATTCTCATGTGCTGGATGCATGCTGTAGGAGCTGAAACTGTGCAGACAATTTTTTAAGTGATTTGTTTCTGTTTGCATTATAATTGTCATCCCTCAACATTGCCTTGATATTTCAAAAAAAGAAATAATGGAGAGACTTTGCAACTGGTGCGTTTTGTAAATGAGGAGTGTCCAGATTTAATTCTGAAATATCAGTAGGTAACATTTTCTTATGGAAAAAAGTGGATTTAAAAACTGTACTCTGTACAATGTACATTTTCTGCTCAGCCCTACAAGTGATATGTGAATGTGACATTACGGAGACAGGCATGTCGTTTATGTTTTTTTTTCTGTTTAATCTTCTGTTTAGAAGATTTGTACTGTCTTCCACAATGGAATGATTTCATTGTATTACTCAGTGCTAGTGGATAACTTTCTTGAGTTCTGGTCTGTGATTATATTGTACTTGTCAAATTTCTCCCAAATTCCAGATGGTATTGTGCAGTTTTTGTCGTCATAGATAAAGTATTTACCCGGGAAATAAACGTCAAATTTCGAGGAGAACACCATTTACCCAAATTTCGTTTTTAATGAAGCTTTTATTAAAAAGTTTTAGAGAGATGTGATGCCGAACCGATGAAACAAAACATTTCATTGTTCATCTTAAAGCTAAAGACATTTGTTCCGCATTTCCATGGTTATGTAGTTATCACTTATCAGAATTCAATAATAAAGACCGAAAACGTAGACTCATGAGTATTCAAAAATATAATTTGCTGGCTTGACAGACTTCGAGGCCAGATCAAGCGCAGAGCCTTGCAAATCTGAAAGCCACCGCGCACAGTGGTCTTTGTTGAAAAGTTTTCATGGTATTTGCCACCAGTCGTTTATCCTTGTGTGTAGGATCCGTGACGTACTGTAGAGTTAAATTCGGTGCCAAATACATCTGGCCACAATTAAACCCTCGCAATTGATGTTGATTCATCACATGCCTTGAGAATGCCATTGCAGAACAAATTTCACTGATGTATGTCCATTGTGGCTTGCAAAAGTACAGTATGGTAAATGGTTGGCAAGTGTTTGGTGTCCTACCGTATTTTTATCTTCTGCACTGCCCATTGTGAAGCATGAAATATTTTATTGGATAATTAATGAAGTATTTTCTCCATGTCTCTTTCAGTATACCAGCCTGTTTTTCATACTAAAAAAGGAAGGTGAATACAATATCATTACATCCTCACATCTTCAGCAAGTCATGGAGCCAACAAGCCTTCGTGTGTGAGCATGCATAGTCCAAGACCTCATGAGATACTTCCCACCAGTGATTCATCAACAAGTGGTCATGTTCACCTCTGCATGCAGCGTCAGTGTGTTCAAACATTTTTGCTGTATGAAGTTTTCCTGTGTGTACTATGACAAGGCTGTTCACCTGACAGGAGTCCAGCAAAGCACTAACTTGCTACAGAATGCGCTACCATGGATTATTATGTTAGTGACAACGCTTGTGACATCTGTAAGCTTCAAGGACTTGACCATTTCCTTCAGTGTTTTTGGCTCCATCCACAACCACACATGTCGTGAACATGTCAAATGAGGAACAGACTTAGCTGTGATTCGTTTTGATCGATGGACCAGATGGAATATGCAGTGTAAGAGACTGATGAAAACCCAGAGGTAAGAAAACCACTTAAATAGCAATTCTGATTTGGATGCCTACTTTACAAAGTACACATATTTGCAGATATTTGAATGAAACATTTTTGACTGGAATAGTACATGTAGATTTGCCAAACAACACATTTATCACCAGTAGGGGCATGCATCGGTTTAGAATATTATTTGTGGAGAATTTTCAAAATGGAACCAGGCTACTTTTAGTACATGGAAAACCAAGACAGAGTTCATGTTTGTGTGCATTTTAATGCGACTAATGACACTTGCAAAGTTACAGTTTACATAAAGCTATAAAGCCCTTCAGACAACTTCCACGATTTGAAAAAGGAAATATTTGCAGATATTTGAATTACATGCTGACACATGTTTGACTTGAATAGTAAATTTGCCAAACAACAAAATTATCACGAGTTGGGGATAGGATGAGTTGGACGAGTCCAGCATTTTTGTAATTGATTCCAATTCCGTCTGGGAATGACGATTCCACTTGGAATCGACTCCATAATTTTTTGGGGAAAAACATTTAAAATTAAAAACTGCTTATGATGAGATCATAATTGGGTGTAATCGCTCTCTTATTGCCATTTGTGAGCAAATATTCGTATAAAAGTCACGTCTTGGATAGGGGACACAATAGTTCACAACTCCTGAAAGGGTCATTCCATGCCAATTCAACGGGCCATGGCACCATATGTCACAGATTTTGTTCAAACTTGGTGGAAAGGTTCTGTTAGTTGTTCTATAGATGATATCGAAAGCAAAAATTCATATTGCTTTCCATTGAGGTGTTACGGTAGCACAAAGTTCAATGAACTTTGCCAAAAAAAAGGGAACTGACTGGCCCATAGAATAAATCGCTGACTTTAAGGACAGATATCTTGAGATTGAAAGTGAATTGGAAGCTGAATTTAGAGACATGGGTACAACTACTGTAGTAGAGCAGGAATATAGGGAAATAATACCCATCATGCCTCACACCTTAATTTTACGGGGGGTCAAAAATGATCCGTCATGATGCGTCACATGCATTTTTTTCAAATTTTGAAGGCCCCTAATCTTGGAACTTTGCATTAACTTTGTTTAATTTCAATGTTAATGTAATCTCTGACTACTATATTGACATTTATGTAAAAGAAAGAGCAATTGTAGCTGTCTTCCCTGATCTGGGTGACCCTCAATATGGCCCCAGCCAGAAATCCGCCTTAAAATTTGCCCAAAACAAGGGGAGAAATCCCCATGTGGCTCAGGTGATATAGTTTTCTAGGCTTTTTATTAAGAAAGAGTTCATCTTCAAGATTAATATTATCGAAAAAATTCATGTGTATCTGACATTTTCATGAAAAATCAAAGCTGCAAAAACACCCCCAAATTGAGCGACAATGTGTGTTAGACACACATTGTGCATGTGCAGGCTATTTTGACTGACCCCACTTCATCTCAGAAGCATAAATGGACCTCTTTTTTGGGCTTTTTGTGTATCTCAGTATGCCTCTCTACCTAATGTTGGTCCAAAAACTGCATGTACATGTACATCCACACATTATGTCCAAATTGTGGGGGGGGGGAGCCTCTATATACCCCCTCGTGTTACAAATACGTTATTTGTCAGCTTTTGAAGCCTTCAAGTTTTGCCCTTAAATCTCAAGTATTTTAATTTGAAAAGTGGATCAATTAATCCCCAGACAGTACAACTACTAGCCTTGACCAAGGCTATCAGCTTGTTCCCATACGAGCTTGTTCCTGCTACCGCATAGTTGTACTTTACTAGCAGGGTTCGACCTTAGGCCAAAAAAAAGAATAGTTCTGCTTCCGGTTACCCGACCGACCCTATTTTTTGGCCAGCTCGATCCCCGTGTTTTGACTAGCGTTAAGCATATGGTGCGAACGACCTGAATTTTCCATTATTTTTTGAAATTATCGAACGTAAATATATGGACAATAATTAAAGGTAGGTTTTATTCACTTTTTGTTGCCATTTCGTGTATAGCTTTCGTAGTGCAATGGAAATCAGTCTATAACTTCGCATTATTATAATTGAATACCCCATTCGATCTGCATAAAAAAAATTGGCAAAAAAAAAGAATTTCTGACCGACCAACCTTATTTTTGAAAGGCATGTAATCGGAAGCAGAACTATTTTTTTTGGCCTAATTAAGGTAGGTTTTATTCACTTTTTGTGGCCATCATTTTGTGTATAGCTTTCGTAGTGCAATGAAAATAAATCAGGCTAAAACTTCGCATACTGAGGCCTAATTGAATACCCCATTCAATCTGCATAAAAAAAATGTGCCCACAAAAAACCAAAATCCGACCAACCGACCCTATTTTTGAAAGGCATGTAATCTGAGGCAGAACTATATTTTTTATTTGCGGCCTCAGGTCATGAAGGAAGAAAATAGACCTCTATTGCTCAGGTGCCATGATGACATGGGTGTTGACTATAGTCTAATTATGACTTATGTGAAACTGATTAACTGGTGGGTACACGCTGTATAAGACGGACCAGTCAAAAACCTGGCGGACCAGTCAAAATTCTAGCCAACTGGTCCGGCTGGCCAGTCAAAAAAAAAAGTTAAGGGCAACCCCTGCCGTTAGCCTCAACGACCCTTGCGTGTGCTTTGTGTGCATGTACGTACGTCCCACACACACTTCCGCAAACAGCCGTACAGTAAGTCGAGGCGCAAGATAGCCTTGACGCAACCGTGGCGAATTCCTTATGTGTTTCTTTATAGTTTCGACCGAAATCGGCCGAAAATTTCTGATGCGCATATATTACACGATACCCAATCAAAGCCCGTAAACTTTGACCCGCGACATACATAATCATGATCCCGCAAATTACTGTATACACCACGTACATGTACATGTATGTTCACTCAAACCATGGTATGTCCAGGTATTTCAATCCCATTACAAACAAATGAAATATGCCGCTATATTGAGTGAACAATTGTTCAAAATGATACTATTTCCAATGTATTGCGAATAGGAGAGTTCAAGACAGTCTGCCGACGTTTTGTCGGTGCAACAGCGTACATTATCAGACCGCTACCTGCCCGTGCTATGACAGTGAATGTAGGGAACAGGTCAACTCAGACCCACGTCAAATCGTACCCATTTAATCGAATGCAGGTTAACTCGTATCTATAGGCACCCGTATGAATTACTGCAAGAAACGAGCTATTGACTTTGGGATGGAAATATATGAAACTGTCAGGTACATGGTGAAAAAAAAACTCTCCCTGAATTCGTACCATGTGCAAATTACATCACATACGTACGACACATGTATTTTAATGCGTATGCATGAATCGTATGTCGTACCTACAACATACGTACGACATGTACATGTACATGTATGTCGTAGATGTAAATCGCACGAGGTACAATTCGTTCTCACAAGATGTGTTGTATGTAAGACATAATCGACAAACAAGTAGATGATACGAGTTACAATTCATATTTTGTACACACGAGATATTAAGTCGTACTTATATACGACTTTGTCGTAAGCGACATATATCGTACCCTGTCGACTCGACTTATGCACGACATATATGCATAGCTGCCAACTGTTACGATTTTTTCGTAATGATTACGAATTGTTTGTTTAATTACGAAAATACGATTTGCCACTTAAACATTACGAATTTCCCATTTTCTCCCTAACAAAAAAAAAATACTTGTAAAGTATCGTTTCTGGCGAAATGATGGGATAAAGGATGGACCGGTGACAAGTCTAATAAGCAATGCAGTCAAGCACCTGATAGACATCATTGCAGTGTGCGCATTGGAGTATTTGAGGACCAGACTAAAAATATTTTTCAAGGGTGTGCCATTTGTGTGCATCTTGTGGATGGGTGGTTGGGTGTGTGTACTGTTCTGTATGTGTGAGTACTTTTCAATGACGATCGTGAGCACATTTGGTCGCTTATTGCCGGGATGAGACCCATCAGTGCGAGATTTTAATCATGGAATTTAAAATAAGAGTATGGTTGGAATAATTGGTAATAAAGTTTGAGTTTATCACAACGTCCAGAAAAGATAGATCAGCATGCGTTTGCAAGGTATGTTGGCAGGATATTTCTATTGCATACGGTGGCCCTAAATCATTGTGTGTAAAAACACGATACGAGCTCGAAACTCAACATCGATAGCATGCATTTCAAAAAAAAAATGCGCACATGTAATTATTGTTATTATTTATTTGACTTCAACGAACATGCACAGACAGTAAAGCAAAATTAATTTTAAAAAATATATTATCATTTTTTTTTTTTTTTATTATCTTTTGGCCTACAGTACATTATTCTTCACAACAAGAATGGTATGCACATGTAAACCATGTACCTGTACTCGATGTTGGTAAAGCTGGTACATACACTTTTGATAATAGGATTAGGAGCAGTTGAAAATGACCGCGCGGGTTGATTACTAATTGGGATTTTGAAAAGTTGGCAGCTATGTATATGTACCGACACCTGTCAACATTATGTCATATGTTTGATATGTCATACCCTGTCGACATATACAATGTATGTCGTACCCTGTCGATGATATTAGTCGTACATACGACATATAACTTATAAGCAGGCTTCTAGCCAGGCATACACTAGGATATCGGGCCTAAACGCTTCGAAAAAAATCCGATATGCTTGAAGTTAACCGATATGCTATCGATATGCTTCACATTTTCCGTGACAAAAAAAATACCCAAGGTTTTCTCACTACTGGTTTAAAATAAGATCTGTTGCTGAAACGAATTATCAATTGTTACCTGAGGCAAATCATTTTTTTAAACGAACAGTGGAAGCACATCCCACGAAAAGATACTGAGGTTCGCTACCGAGCGTTGACGGTATACACTGCTGCGCTGGCCGGCCGGCGGGCCGTGCGTGAGCGAACTCTTTCGTTCGGTACTACTAAAGCGCGTCAACAAGCCTCAACGGTCATCAACGAGCATCAACAAATTTTGTAGAGGCTTTTGGACATTAAAAACA